CTTAATTAAAGAGAACAAAAGCAGCATATCTGATTTCTCCAGTCTGAATGGGGCTCGTTAACATGTTTACTATGTATATACTCACCTGCCTACTGGATATATCCCACTGAAATTAAAATATCTTTCCCTCCATACGTGCTTTTCCTGCCTTTCCATTGTTAATTAATTAGCAATTCTCCATGCAGCTGCTTGAGCCAAAAGCCTCGGTACCTTTAAAATGTTTTTTATAATTTAAAAACTTTTAAACTTACAAAAAAATTGCAAGAACAGTATAAATAACCTACACCTTTGCCCAACTTCTCCAATTATTGACATGTTATATTTGTTATATCATTCTCTCTCTCTCTCTCTCTCTCTCTCTCTCTACACACACACACACACACACACACACACACACACACACATAACGTATATTTTTACTTACTTCATTATTTATATATACTTTTTTTCTGAATCATTTAAGTTGCAGACATGAAGCCCCATTATCTTTCAATACCTCAGTATGTATTTTCTAACACAAAGATATCTCCTACATTTCCAGAACATAGTCATCAATATCAGGAAATTAATATTGCTAAAAATACTGCCATCTAATCCATGACCCCATTTGCTCATTTGTCCCAAAAATGCTCTTTATAGCAAAAGGATCCAATTCAGATGTTCTATATATTTAGTTGTCATGTCTCTTTAGTCTTCTAAAACTGAAAACATTCTTTAGGAGTTCCTTTGTCTTTTATGACCTTGATACTTTTGGAGAGTACAGGCCTATTGTTTTGTCGAATGTCCCTCAACTTGGGGTTGTCTAAGCTTTCCTCGTGATTAGATTCAGGTGATGCATTTTGGGCAGAAACATCTCAGAAGTGTGTTATAAGTATCTCTTACCAGATGGCACACAGTGTTGATTTGTCCTGTTACTGGGGACAGTAACTTTGGTCACCAGTACCAGATTTCTGCACTGTCAAGTTTCTATTTCACCTTTGTAATCAACAAGTATTTGGTTGGGAGATATTTTAGACTATATAAATATTATGTTCTCGAAACTCTTACTCTCTAGTTTTGGCATACATTGCTGATTCTTGCCTGAGTCAATTTTTGCTGTTAATAGTTGCCAAATGGTAATGTTTCTACTTATATTATTCCTTCAACATTTATTAATTAGCATTCTAAGGTAAGCAAGAGCTTTTCTTTGTCCCCATTTCAAAAATCCATGTATTTATTTCAGCATGAACTCCAATATTTCTAATTTATTCAGTGGATCATAACCTATTAACACTATAGTGGTGCTCAGGTTGCCCCAGATATGGCCAGTGGGAACTCCTACCAGTTGGTTTCTGTGTCCTCTTGATATGTTCCGTTATTCTTTGAGAACTTCCTTAATTTCCAGCTCAACAAGATTTTCCAGGCTCATGTTGTACTTTCCCTGCTGCTGCTCTGGAATCAGCCATTTCTCCAAAGGGCCCTAGTTCCTTTCAGTAGAGAATGGTGTTTAGAAACCAAGATTTGGCACTATGTGGTCACTGCTTCTAGGGTATCATCCCTCCTACACCTTTTCAGCCGAAAGAACTAGGAGGAAAGATAGATAGATAGATAGATAGATAGATAGATAGATAGATAGATAGATAGAAGAAATACACACACACATACACATATACTTTAATCTATATTTCTATGTGTGTTTACATATATATTGAAAACTGAGTTTACATATTCAATACTCCAATACCACCATTCTGGAATTCTTCCTTTCCCTATTTGTAACTCCCTTCTGTTAGGGAAAGACCTGGCTCCCACTGGCCTCAATATAGTTATTTCTTCACTCCCTTTTCATGTAAACTTCATGGCCCTGACATGCTTGCTACCTCTTTACTTGGTGAGAAGGGAAAGGAGCTGGTTATCATGTTTTATTCCTTCTTTTCATGTAGTCCCCCATCCAATCAATCACCAAGTCTTGACATTTCTCTTTTAAAAATCTCTTAAATTGGTACACTATTCTCCACTCTGACTGCCCATATCACCACATCTCTTATATAGCTAACAATAACAGCATCTTAATTTATATCCCTTTATCTAAATTTGCTTTCTTCCCACCCATCTTCCACACTGCAGCCATAGTTACCTTTCTGAAATTAAAATTTGACCATTTTACTCCATAGTTAAAAACCTGGAATGATACCTCATTGACCCTTAATACTGTCTGAGTCTCTTCATAACTTGCTCACCGCTCTTGTCTTACTTTTTCCCAAAGCCTCTCACCTCAATCTTGACTTTTCAGTCAGCCATGCTGAATTTATTTCAGTTCTTGGATTATGCCAAGCTTTCTTTAAGTGAGCACCATACGCCACCTTTTTCTACCCAGAAATCGGTCTCAACCTGGACAGCACTACATATGTTTAAATGTCACTTCTGCTATGAAACATTCCCTGCCACTGTCCCCCACCCCCACAACCCACCCCCCATTATACAGGGGGTGTGGGGAGGTGCAAGCTATTGTAAAGGTCCAGGCAAGAGATGATAACAGGTGTACATCTCAGCCAATCTGATAAACTGCAGAATGTGTTATGAAAATACCTAATCAAGAATGAGCAGCCAGAGTTATAACCTCTCTTCATAAAAGTGGGTACTTACATCACAGTTGTGAGGACAGATGAAGAGTACATAAAACACCTATAATGCATAGCTCCTAGAAGGAACTCAATATATGAGGTTAGAGAATTAAGTTCGTGAACGCATCCTAGAAAAAGTGCTCCATCCCTCATTGTTGAATATCACTATGGTCACCTTCAAAGTACTCCCCCTGGTAAGCTATGCACCCACGCCAATGATTACTCCACCCTTCAAAGCAATTTTGCAACTCTTTTTCTGGAACGGCCATCAGAGCTGTCATTGTATTACTCTTGATGTCCCAAATGTCATCAAAATGTCTTCCTTTCAATATTTCCTCTATCTTCAGGTAAAGAAAGAAGTCATTGGGGGCCAGATCAGGTGAGTAGGGAGGATGTTCCAATACAGTTATTTGTTCACTGGCTAAAAACTCCCTCACAGACAGTGCCGTGTGAGGTGGTGCAATGTCGTGATGCAAAGGGCCATGAATTGTTGGCAAGAAGTTCAGGTCATCTAGCTTTCTTACACACAGCAGTTTCAGCACTTCCAAATAGTCAACTTGGTTAACTGTTTGTCCAATGAGTACAAATTCATAATGAATAATCCCTCTGGTATCAAAAAGGGTCAGCAACATCATTGCAACAAGTTGCAAACTTGTCAGACCTCCTATATCATCTATTGCTCATTCACAAATGTTCATGAAGTAGCAACTATTTGATAGATACTGTGGTTGATGCTGGGCCTAGAAAAATTAAAGTACAATGCAAACAATTAAAATAGTTTTTTGGAATGAGTGTCCAAAGCATAATAGGATATATAGCAGGAGTGTTTGGAGGAGTTAGTCAACCTAGTTAAGATTCAAAAGATGGACATTTGGGCTGAGACATGCAGAAGTAGACGTTTACAAGGAGGGATTTTTAGGGAAAGAGGACAATATGTGCAAGAACTGGGGCATGAAAAGGTATTATCTAGATTGTTGTGGGGCACCTACTTCAATACTGATGAAGCATAAAACGGAAACGAGGCAATGAGAAATGAAACTAGTCAGGGAGATGGAGTGTCTTGTAATTCTAGGCAAAATAATTAGATTTTTCTCCTACAGATCATCTTTGAAGAATTTTCAGGGGAGTGGCAGTATGAAATTTACATTTTTTTTAGCGAGCTCATTCTGGTTAGCAGTGTGGAAAATGGAATTCGGCGATCAAAACTTGAGTCAGGGGTCTGATAAAGAGACCCTCTCATAATAATACTGTGAAAAGCCATGAAGGTTGGCATTAGGCAGCATGAGCTACAATGGATAAGCTGTACACTGGAGATGGACATAATTTGGTGTGAGGGGTATTTAGGATGTTCTATAGGTGTCTAATTACAACACCGGGAGGATGGTGGTGGCTTAAGCCAAGATAGTAATCCAGAAAGGGAAGTAGATTTTGAGTGGAAAGGTGAACCTTTGAGATGCATTGGATTGGTAATATTTCTCACTGCCTTCTCACAGGATTTGGAAAAAATGAGATAATGTCCTGTAACGTATGGCGATGCCCATGGGAATGGAAAAGCTGGCCTCCAAAAAAATATGCATAACGCTCTCACTGTACAAACGAAGCAACAGAGTACAGCGCGTGAGTACAACTACAGAAAATTCAAGAGTCAAAGAGTGACTTGCCTAGTATTTTTCCATCCCTGGTGACTAAGGGCTAAAGATGGCGCTTCTAGTACAAATTAGAAAGTGGGCGGGGGGTATTGGGTGTAGAAAAAAACGACGTTTTTATTTTGCTTTAAACACATAGTGAGATAACTCACCGCCAAACGAATCGTGGACAACTTTTTCCTTAAGATTTGGGCTGTAGTACAACTTTTCATTCTCCACGCTTAAAAAGAGTGTTTCATTTTGGGGCGCCATCGCGTGGGGAGTGATGAATCTGTTTCTTTCCCTTATTCACGTTTCTTGTCTTTGACCGGCTCCACGTAAACCTCGCCAGCTCGCTTTGCCCCCTACCGTTTTTCCCTGCGCTGGCTACAGGGCAAAGGCGCAAAGACTCTTTTGGGGCCGGGCTGAGGCTCTAGGGGCACCTGCGCACTCCCGGGGTCCCTTCCCGCTCAGGGGCGGTGGAGTCCTCTCCCTGTCAGGGCCGCACAGGCGGCCTCGCGCTTTCCGCTCGGACTAGCAGAGCCCCGAGCACGGCCCCCAGCGCGCGCCCCCGGCAGCAGTCCGAGGCTTCGCGGCCGGGCGGGCGCGCGCGCACGCTGTCTCCGCTGGCGCCGCCCTGCAGTGCCTACGGGCGGGGGCGGAGGCGGCGCGGGGCGGGGACCGCGGAGGGGCGTCGAGGCAAGGCGGCGGGCCAGACTGGGCCGCCTCGGTTGTCAAGGGAACGGTGGCGTGGGTAGGTGCTGACGTCAGTGGGCGGCGCGCTGACCGCACTGCGGGATCGAGCGCGCTCCCAGAGCCGGGGTTACCGGCGGCGGGGTGTCTGTGTTCGCCTTATACCCCAGCCAGCTCCTCCTGGCGCGGGAAGCCCCTTTGCTTTGTCCCGGCGTCGGCTCCGGCGAGACGGACTGCCGGCCGCACCGCGCTCTCCTTCCTGTGAGTACGCACCCGGCGCGCTGGTGGCGGGAGCCCGGGCCCAGACGCTCGGCCGGCCCCGGTCTTCCGGGGAACGGCGGTCTGGGGGGCTGCTCGGGTCCGAGGGCGCGGAGGTGGCACTGCGCCACTGCAAGCTTAAGCGGCCAAGCGCCGCCGAGCGGATGGATGTGGTTTTGGGGAAATACATCTGCGTACTTTTCCGCTCCCTTGCCTGGGCTCCTTGGCTTGGGAGTGATCAGCGTGGTGTCCTGAACGGGTGAATGTAATCTTTGCTTTTCCTACTACCGATTCTGGTTTAAACGTTTTTAAGTCTGATGCGTAGTAAGTTTGTTTCTTTCCTTTTAGGATACTAACCTGGGGATGAATATTGAACCTGTGAATACCTTCTTAATTATATCTGAGAAAAATGCGTTACATTTATAAGAAAAGAGTCGAATTACATTAACAGGGCCTTTTCAATATGTATAAAAGTAGAGAAAATATATAGACTATTTAGGAATCCCTATCAAATGGTGGTGCTACGTTTCAGTATTACTGTAAAACATCCACTGACGGGAGTATATGGCTTTTCTTTTTTTTCTGAGAAAAGGATGCTAGCAGTTGTTTCACCTGTTGCATTAATAATTGTTATTGGTTGGGCTTTCAGGAATTATTATTAGGAATTGCGTATTATTAGGACTCTGGGGAATTTTAAAAATATATATTCGAAATAAATTCAAATACCAAGAGTTTTTTTAAAACCACCTTTAGAATCTTGTTTATTTATGGAGACTATAGTTGATTATTAATTGAATTATGTGTACAGGGTTTTAGTTTGCTTTTTCCCATGCTGTCAATTTATCCAAACCTCCCAGCTTTTTCTCCCCTTGATCCTTAGTCATATATTGGCTAATACGTGGTTAGAGAAAAAGTATAATAAAATGAGATGAAACGTAATGCAGTTAATTTTCCTGATTAGTATCCTAAGAGCACCTGTAAAAGGGGTTGTGAGAGAGAAGATTTAAAATAATGGTATATGTGAGATTCAGGAATATAGTTTTAAGTCTGACTTTAATTTTTGCCTTTGATGTTACTAGTTGGATTGGATAATGGTCACTAGTTCTGTAATGTATTTGCTGTAGTATACATTAACATTTAGAGATTATTTTTGTAATACGTTTGCTATGTTGTTAAATAATGTTACTTAATTAAATTATTCAATTGTGCGTTAAAATACTACTAATTAATAGTAAATGTAAATACATAATTTACTTAATGTGTTTTATTTCTTGCATAATTATTTTTGATACTATAATAATGGACATGAAGTAATTTTATTGATTTTACAATGTGCCAGCCACTGTGCTGATCACTTTGCTTTTCAGTATTTCCTTTAATCCTTACAATAAAGGAGGTGCCATTTAAATTTCCCAGTCCAAAAAAAAAACAAGACAAAAAACAAAGCAGAACTAAACCAACAAGCTTTAGTGAAATTAAGTAGTTTGCCCAAGGCACATTCAATTCAGTACATGGCCAGAGTTTAAGCCTGAGACTTTTTGACCCTGGAACCATTCTTACCAATACCTCCCCTCTCTTTTTAAAATGGGAATACATAGATGAAAGGAGCATAGGCCTAACCCTCCAAAAAGCTAGCAGTTTGGTGCCTTTCACAGAACATTTTACCAAGGTGAAAATTCAGGGCTGAGCTAGAGGGAGATATGAAGATTAGGGCACTGTGGGAGCATAGAGAAGCATTTAACTGCCCCTCAAGTTTAGAATACCTGCCCCTGAAGGTTAGAGTGCTCCCCATAGAAGATAAGATACCAGTTGCATTTAGTGTCAAAGGGTAGTTAGATATTGTTTAAAGGGACAAGGTAGGAAGGGCATTTCTCAGGAGAGAGAGATGTGTAATGGTACAAAAGCAGGAAAGAAGTTGATGCATTTGGGGACTGCAGGTGGTTTTACATGGCTACAGCACAGAATGTGTGCGGAGTGTGGCTGGAGAAGGGGAGGTACAGAGACGCAAGGGGTCATTTCAGAAGTAGTCGCAGGCCCTAACGGTAAGGATTTCATATGTTTTCCATTGGGTGATTGGGAACTGGTGAAGAGTTTCAAACAACAAAATGATACCATCATATTTATATTTTAGAAAATCATCACTCTGGTTGCAGTGTAGAGGATGACTTATTTTGTAATAGGTTAGGGTGGTGGAGGCATGGAAACAATCTTAAAAAACACAAAACTAAAATCCTTCCATAGTCTTTTTGTCTCTCAAAGCTCCTGTCTCATGTTATTGCCTTTGGGGTTAGGGGAAGACAGTGGGAAGCAGAATTGCAGAAACAATTATTTACATGTTTTATCTACAGACTTCACCTTCCATTCATTCTTCCACCTGTGGCTGCCAGGTCTCTGCCCCTTCATAAGCTGCTTCGTACATGTGACTTCCTGATTGCAGATCCAGTGAACGCTCTTCAAAACTTGCAGCAACTCTCAGTACCACACAGTGTAGATCACTTCTTTCTTAAAACTCTTTCCCTTGGTGATTTCTCTTTCCCAGTTTATCACCTGTCACTCTGTCTTTTTATTTTATTTTGTGGGTGCCTGTAGTTCTGTCTTTGGTAATTTTTTTTCTTGCAACCATCACAAATATAAATGATGCTCAAAACTTCAGCCTAGATCTCCTTGCTGCATTACTATACTAGTATACCTTGGAGGTATTGTGGGTTTGGTTCTAGACCACAATAAACTAGGTATCACAACAAAGTAGATTGTATCTTTTTGCTCTTAGAGGGTCTTGCCTTCAATTTGTCAAAAAACGGAACATCTGTGAAGCACAATAAAGTGAAGTCTAATGAAACGAGGTATGTCTGTGTTCTGTTGTCTACCAAACATAATCTGACATATAGATACACACACACACATATACAGTAATAATAGCCATCATTTTTGAAAGGCTTGGCATTCTCTAGGCATTATGCTAAGTGTTTTACTATCATATTCTTATTTAGTCTTCACATAAACCCTATGAGAGACTTACTGTTATTAGAAAGATTAGGAAATTGGGTCCACAGAGATTAACCTACTGACAGATGAAAGTGGCATTTGAATCCAGGGATCTAACAGTGGAGCCAGTGCTTGTAGTTGCGTAGTGCTCCTTAGATACTCAGCTCAACATGCCCATTGAGCTCACTGAGTGTCCTATAAGAAGTGTCTTTTACAGATGTAGCTAATATTTATTGATGTTTGTCCTAAGGCACAGTTCTGAATCATTCAACCCTTCCAACAGCTCTTTGAATGAGCACTGTTGGACCGATTTTACAGATGAGGAAATAGATTAGTACCTAAGGTCACACAAGTAATCATGGGAGACTAATTCCAGGACTTGAGTTTTAAACTACTCCACTATGCTTGTTCTATACTATACTATACTCCACTCCACTCCAATTAATGATGCTACTCGTCCAGTTATTCTAGTTCTAGAGACATGGGAATCATCCTTGATCTTTGTCCTGCCTCTTCAGTGGTTTTTATTTAGTTTTTCTAAAATGTCATAAATGTCATACATTTTCTGCTCAAGAGAAAACAGATTAAGCTGAATGTAAGTAAGCCTTTTCTTGATGACTCAAAGTCATAGTTCATCTGTTTTCCTGTATATTCATTTACCATGGAATACTATAAATATTAAATATTTCTTTGCTTTATATTCTTTCTACTTACTGATGGTGTTATTTTACTTGCCTTTGCAGCCTCTCTCTTTTCTAATTTGGGATAACTGGAAGATAGATGACCAGGCTTATTAAATCTGTATTTACTAACATGTAAATATGAGTATAGGCTTTTATCACTAAAATATAGGAGTTTTTGCTATGTGGATTTAGTGATGTCTTTTATCTGAATACTGGATTGTTACATAAGTTCACTTACATAGTTATGTGTATTTGTATAATCATTTTTTTTTTCTTTCTAGCATTTTTTCTCAGACTTTTCTGTCCAAAGTGCCCTGATACCAGAAGAAAAGGAATATGGATCTCCAGGAATCTGGAGTCTTAACTAATCATTGCTGAGCCAACTCAAATTATGTTTCTCTTTTCTTTTTAATGTCTTCAGTTTTATTCTTAAAAATATATGCATAGTGTGTTCTAATGTGGGACTTGTTTGTTTTGGACACACCGCCATCTTGAAGTAAAATGGGAAATTCAGGAATATATATACTGAGTTTACCCATGGTTTTGATACATAATAATACACACCCAAGGTATTCATTTGAGAAAGAGGATGAATGCTTCTGCTAACCTTCTCTATTGTAGCAGCATTTTCAGTGGTGGGCACAGAGAGTTTTAGTATATGTGCTGCCGAGGCAAGCACGGGCACAGAGTTGTAAATTCATTGTCTGTGACTATGCTCTCCACAGGCAAACTTCACCAATATAAGAGTGTATCCTCTTGAGAAAGTCAATCCTGAGATGGAATTTGGTTTCTTAAAAGTGTATTGAAATGTTTATTTTTCACTTAAAACACTTTATAAAAAGTATATTAACACACCAAGTTAGATGTTTACTGCCTTTCATAATTAAAAAATATTTTGTGTTTCAAAAATGTAAATATTTTATTCAAATATGACCCAGTTTGCCTCACTTTATTTTGGACTCTAAGCTGATTTAAATGTATTCAAGTTATTTGCATAAGACAGAGATAAGAAAAATTGGTATAAACTTGATGAGGTAGTGGAATCAGACATAATTTTGCCTGAAGAATATAATTTTTACTTGAAACTTTCATATTCCAAAAAAATCCTCTTTGTTTTAATAGGTTCCTGATTGAATTAATGCTTTACATTACAACGCAGTGCTCCCTGTAAAGCTGAGATATGCCCACTGGTGAGACTTTCATGAAATGTATGTATACAATCCATACTATATATTTACTTTAAATTTTGGATTATTTTTAAGGGCTACTTTAGTAGATTAATGAATAAGGTAGATGTCATCAACCAAATATTAGCATTTAAAGATATTTAAGAGTTCAGTATTTGATTTTCTATTTGATACTGGTGATTAAGGTTAATGTGTATTCAATGGATGGCAGTTTGGGACTCAGCTGGACAAAATGAATAATAATTACAATATATGGTTAGTTTTCATTCTTTATTTTCAAAATGGATGTTTTACGCTAAGCAGTCACAGGCAAACTTCTTTTTTAAAGGCAAGCTAGTAAATATTTTAAGCTTGGTCTGTGCTATAACTACTGAACTCTGCCATTGAAGCACAAAAGCAGTAGCCATAACAATTCTTAGCAGAGTGGGCATAGCTTTGTTTCAGTAAGCTTTATTTACATGAACAGGTGACTGGCCTGCAGGCCTTGTTTGCCAACACCAGCTCTGGGGTATTCATTCATTCATTCATTCATTCATTCATTCAGCATTATTTATTGAATACCTGTTTGACTATTTACTCTGTGCCAGACTCCATGATAGTGACTGGAGATATAGTTATAAATTACATAGTATAGCGGGAGAGATGGATTATATATTTATTTATGTTGTTATACAAATAATTATACAATTTCAAGTTGGGTTAAGTGTTGTGAAGGAAAAAAAGAGTCTCCTATGAGAAACAGAAATTTAGATGAGATTGTCAGGAAACGGTCCACCTTAGAGGCAGCATTTAAATAGGCAGCTTAATACAAGTCAGGAGAGGAGTAGGAGGAAACTTCCACCAGCGAGCTTAGAGGAGTTGGGAAGCTTCCAACAGGGAGAAGCAGCTTCACATGGGAAGGAGCTTGTTCTGACAGAGGATCTAGAAGGGCAGTGGGGCTCGAATCTAGGCGTCTCAGGGGACATTGGTCTTGATTTGAAACTTTAGAGGTAGGCAGGCCAGGAAGCAAGAATCCTGCAGGGCATGTGAAGGATTTGTTTTATTTTGTCCCGAGTGAAATGGGAAACTCACAGGGTCCTAAGTAAAAGTATAATATGATCTAGGTTTTAAAGAAAAACAAACTTTGAACTTTTAATATTTGTTGAATGCTGATTATTGACTAGGCAAGTGTTACCCATTTTTCATGCAAAATGATCTTTTGACATAGGATTATTCTGATTTTATGGATAAGGAAGATGAATTTTAAAGATGTTTAACTTGTTTAAGGCCACATTAACAGTGCAGATGCTACTAACAGTGGTAAATGCCACTGTGCATCACAAGTAAAAAAGTTAACTTAGCAAAGGAAACTTTCAGAGGGTGTATCCCAAAAGGTAAGAGAGATACAGGTGAGTGTGGTGTCACCAAAGCCAAAACAAAGTTTTTTAAGAAGGAAGGACTGGTCAGTTGTTCTAATGTAGCTGCAGAACTCATGCAGGTATTTATAAGACTGTTCTTTAACAGAATAATAATGAATATGTGTTATAATACAGTTATTTAGAAAATGACATGCGTCTTTATCATTTGTAGTTGAGAGTGAAGCCAAAGTGAAAACCAAAGTTTGTTTTGAGGAACTGCTTAAGGCCCACGGTGATCTAATATGCGAAAGAAAAAAACTGAAGAAAAAAATCGGCAAATCTAGAGGAAAAATTTCAGTGAGTAATTGATTGTTCAGTAATAGTGACTTAAATATAAAATGTTGACTTTTCATATTAAAAGACTAAGGAACTTTGGAAATTAAAAACAGTAAATTTATGTCACGGTCAGTAACACTTGGGAAGTTTACTCAATATTCTAACATCACTCTTGAATATTGAGTTCAGTCTTGAGTGCTGTCCTACAAGAATAACAATAAACAAACTGGTGAGAGTGACTGGGGGATAAATGGGGAAACACTAAACTAGCCATGTTACACATTATTGAAGAAAATTCCAATTTTTAACCCAGAGCAACAATTTAGGAAATAATATCTTCAGATATTTAGTGACTTATCTTTATTTAGATTTACTCATGTAATTCTACCCAGCAGAACCAGGAGAAATCAATGGAAACTTAAGGCAATGATTGTCCTTTTGTATGTGAGGTAAGCTGCAAAGGATATAATTTTTGGCAGCACATTTGAAAGGATTAAAAATACAGAACTCAAAGCAGTACTAAACAAATTAGCAGTTTATTACAACCTGCTTCTTAGGGTACCATAAAGAGTCTGTAATAGTATCCACAATTAATGCACTATTCAATCTTTAAACCTATCTCACTATTTCAGTTGCACCTTTTATTCCTCTGATCATCTCCTCTTGTGTACACATACAAACACACACACACACACACACACACACAAATAAATAAATTTATGTATGTTCTGGTAATTGGTACATAGTATTTGTTTGGCAGGAGTTTTATGATGAGTTATATGCATCCTACATTTTACTTGTAATAAATGTTCCCCTATTTTGTATTTTGTCATGTGGTCTGTTCATTTTAATGTTCTGTCTGGCAGCCATCAGTGTATGTAGTATATATTCTCAAGTGAGGCAAAAATAAGTGCCACATTGTCTAGAAACCAGCCACACACATGAGGGGTTCATAGTACCAGTGTACTACTTCATGCCAATTTAGAATTACTGACAGAATGGGGAAGATTAGGTCTCCCATAGTGGATGCTGTTCTAAAATAAAATGTGTTTCTTCAGGTGGTACCATTATACAGTGTGGTAGGAAATAGTGGCATATGGAGGATAGAACATTGGTATATGCCTTCCCCTTGGGTAAGGTGGTGTACATGGGTCAAAAGCATCTGGCCTTGGGTCACAGTGTGGCCTCTCCCATGCACCTCTGGGCCCAGCACAAGCAGCTACCAACCTTGGACAGCTTTATAGCTCCTACCATGGGCACAGGTAGTGGCTGACCTCGGCCTGCACCACAGCCCCTCCCCAAGAGGCCCCAGAACCAACACTTCGGTGACTGGCTTCAGACCACAACAGAACACCATCCAGTCAGTTCCACAAATAGCACACCCAAAGGGTCAGCCCCCGGTGTGATCGTGGCCAGTCCTCAGCCATCAGCCTCAGGGTCATCCCTATCCACTGGTGTGCTAACAGCAATCAAGTCTCAACTATTGGGTTGTCAGAAAAGTCATGACATATTTTGTCTTATGTTTTTCAAAGGTCATTTATTTATATAAAGAACAAAGATTAATCAGTGATATATTGCCCGTTTTGTTCGATAACCTTGTGCCATCTTTCAGTGAGCTTCATAATTCCTTGTTCATAGAAGAACGTGTCTTTATTTGCGAAAAACTGAACAAGGTGCTGATTTACAGCCTCATCTGAATTGAACGTTATACCACGCAACGATTTTTTAAGAGAGCGAGACAAATGGAAGTTTGACAGCGCAAGGTCAGGTGAGTTTGGTGGGTGTGGCAACACATCCCATCCAAGCTCCAATAATTTTTGACGGGTGATCAAGCTTGTGTGTGGTCTTGTGTTCTCGCAATGGAACACAACTCCTTTACAATTAAGCTCTGGATGTTTCTGGATGATGGATTCGTTCAAACTGTCCAATTGCCGACGGTACACATTTGAATTGATTGGTTCCTTGGTAAGAGCTCGAAAAACACGACACCTTTAAAATCCCACCACACTGAGAGCATAACCTTCCTCTGATGAATGTCTGCTTTCGATGTCGTTTGAGGTGAATCATCACATCGGGACCAAGACCATTTGTGCACCACATTGTTGTAAACAATCCACTTCTCATCACGTTATCAGTCGCTTCAAAAAAGGATCGTTTTCCTCATGTTTAATGAGCACATTGCAGATGTTCATACACGCTGTCAAATGAACTTCTTTGAGTTCATGCAGAACCCAAATATCGAACTTGCTTATGTATCCCAGCTTTTTCAGGTGGTCATGAACACTTGAATGATGGATGGTCAATGCTTTTGAAATCTCTCGTGTTGTGTAACATGGGTTTGACTCGATTAATGCTTTTGTTTTGTCGTCATCAACCTCGGTGGACCTCCCTGACCGTGGAGCATGGTTGAGATCAAAATCACCGGCACGGAATTTCGTGAACCATCGTTGGCACTGACGTTTTTGTAGAGTATTGTCACTGTAAACTTTAAGCAATTTTTCACAAGTTTGACGTGCGTTTTTCCCTTTATGGAAGTAAAACAGTTAAATATGGCAAAAATGCACAGTTTGGTCTTCCATCTTCAACTTGTTGTAAAATCTCCAAATCTCAACCAAATCACTCAGTTTTTTTTTTAGAATAAATCTAGAACTGTCAGCTGTCAAATGACATAGCAATGACATAGATGCGAATGACTCTAGTACTTCCAAAAATGAACTACTGCCATCTGTCGCAAACATGTGCCCTGACTTTTCCAACAACCCAATACAACAGAAGGGCTCACACACCCCACACAAGGGACACTCTTGGAGCACCGGGCTCAGGTGACTGGGAATACTGTGCAGCTGGGCCCCACAGGACACCTACAATGTAAGGCCACCCTACCAAGACTGGGAAAAGTAGCAGATCTACCTGATACATAGAAACAAACAGAGGAAGCCAAAATGAAACAACAAAGAAACATGTCTCAAATGAAAGAACAGGAAAACACCCCAGAAAAAGAACTAAATGAAATAGAGGCAAGCAATCTACCAGATACAAAGTTCAAAAACATTAGTTATAAGGATGCTCAATGTACTTAGGGGAAGAATAGACGAATTTAGTGAAAACTTCAACAAAGACATAGTAAACATAAAAGTGGGTACATAGAAGCCATTAAAAAAAAGCCGGTCAGAAGTGAAGAAAACAATAACTGAAATGAAGAATATACTAGAAGGAATCAACAGTAGATGAAACAGAGGCTCGAAGCAGCAATTTGGAAGACAAGGTAGCATAAAACACCCAATCAGAGTAGCAAACAGAATAAAAAAGATTTTAAGAAATGAGGATACTTTAAGGGACCTCTGGAACAACACCAAGCCTAATGACATTTGCATCATAGGGCTACCAGGAAGAGAAGAGATAGCAAAAGATTGAAAACCTATTGAAGAAATGATGACTGAAAACTTCCCTAACCTGGCAAAGGAAATAGATACACAGGTCAAGAAAATGCAGTCCGAACAAGATGAACCCAAAGAGGCCCATAGCAAGACACATTGTAATTAAAATGCCAAAGGTTAAAGACAGAGAAAGAATCTTAAAAGCTGCAAGAGCAAAGGAGTTAGCTACCTACAAGGGAGCTCCCTTAACACTAGTTGATTTCTCAACAGAAACTTGGCATGCCAGAAGGGATTGGCAGGAAATATTTAAAGTGATGAAAACCTAGTACCTAAAACCAAGACTATTCAACCCAGCAAGGCTATCATTTATTGAGTTGTCAGAAAAGTCATGACATATTTTTTTCTATGTTTTTCATTGCAAATATGTGTCATGACTTTTCCGACAACCCAATAGAATTGAAAGAGACATAAAGAGCTTCCCAGAAAAGAAAAAGCTAAAGTTCATCACCACCAAACCAGTGTTACAAGGAATGTTAGAGGGACTTCTTTAAGATGGGGGGAAAAAAAGATCAGAAATACGAATTATAAAATGAGAACTACATTATCTATCAACAATTACTCTAAATTTAAATGGATTGAATTCTCCAATCAAATGACAGAGTAGTTACCAGTGGAAGCCAAAAGTTTTTTTTCCCAAACTGCCAAGAATTATTCAGGCCATAAATGAGATGGGAATACTTTTTAATTTAAGGTTGGGGGTGTTGTAGGGATGGGACAAGGAGTGAGATTTGCCTAGATCTTTGCTGTATCTTCAGGACATTCTTTATTTTATTGTTGATGCTTAAACTACAAAGTTCTGTGTATTCAAGTTTGATTATGGTGAATCTACTTGAAAAAATAATCCAACTTTATGAACATTAAATGGAAGGTTTGCCTTTTTTATCTAGTTTCCAGTGGAGCAGTTTATGAAATATGCTCTATAAGATGTACATCTTTTCATTGTAACATAATTTGTAAATAATTGAAGTGCTACATTTTGATGTATTTTATTCTTGCCATTTTTAAAGAGAAAACTAGGAATTGATCATTTTGTGTATGATGTTTCCATCCTTCTCCTTCCTCCCTCTCCCTATTTAATTTTTGTTCATCATGAGGTTTTTGGATTTGCTAATGACCTGCTGTAGATCATGCCATATGTCATAGGAATAAAGCTGATGATTGTACCAGCCTTGAATTATTCATGATTGATTAAAGTTGATGCGTATTTAAAAAAAAAAAAGACATAGGGTGGCCAAATGGATAAGAAAACAAGACCCATACATATATTACAAGAGACCCACTTCAGATCAGAAGACACACAGACTAAAAGAGATGGAAAAAGATATTTCATGCTAATGGCAAGGGAAAATAAAAAAAGCTAGGGTATCAATACTTGTGTCAGACAAAATGTAATTTAAAGCAAATATAAGAGGCAGAGAAGGACCCATCAATTCCATTTCTGTGTATTTATCTAAAGAAACCCAAAACACTAATTTGGAAAGACATGCATCCTTATGTTCACTGCAGCATTATTTACAATAGCCAAGATATGGAAGCAACCTAAGTGCCGATCAATAGACAATTGGATAAATAGGTGGTACATATATACAACAGAATATTACTCGGCCACAAAAACAAATGAAATCTTAACCATTTGAGACAACATAGGTGGGCCTGGAGGGTATTAAGTCAGACAGAAAAATATCGTATGATTTCAATTATATGTGGAATCTTAAGAGAAAAGGAAATGAACACACAAAAGACAAACAAACTCATAGACAAAGAGAACAACCTGATGGTTACCAGATTGGGGAAGGAGCCAGGGGGTGGGGGGAGCAGGTGAAGGGGTTAAGAAGTACAAATTGGTAGTTACAAAACAGTCCCAGGCATGCTAAGTACAACATAGGGAATACAGTCAATAATATAACTATGTATGGTGCCAGGTGGGTACTAGACTTAGGGGAGGATCACTTTTGTAATTTATATAAATGTCTAACCACTAAGGTGTACACCTGAAACTCATATAAAATAATATTGAATGTCAACTGTAATTGAAAAAAAAATATGTTGAGGCATGTAAGACACTTGTCTTTATAAAAGTAAGCTTTGAAAATAAGAATGTTTGAAAAGAACCGGAACTCTTATATATTTGGGAATGCAAAATGGCATAGCCACTTTGGGAAGCAATTTAACAGTTAATTAAGAAGTTAAACAGCAGCTTACCGTATAGCGCAGCATTTCCACTTGTGGGTATTTACTCAAGATAAATGAAACCATGTCACAGTGCAAAACTGAAATTAACTCAAATGTCCATTAATTGCTGTATGGAGAAATAAAATGTAGTATATATCCACACAATGGAGTGCTGCTCAGAAATAAAAAGGAATAAACTATATGCAGCAACATGGATGAATCTCAAAGCTTTATGCTGAGTAAAGAAAACCAGACACCAAAGGCTATATATACTGGATGATTCCATTTATATGAAATTATAGACAACACAAAACTATAATGATAGAAAGCCAATCAGTATTTGAGTGAGACCAAGGCACAGAAGGTGGGTAGGGATTGACTTTGTAAAAGAGCATGTGGGGTGATGGAAATGTTTAACGTGATTATAGTGGTGGTCACATGTCTGTATATATTTGCCCAAATCCATTTAATTATATATTTACAATTGGTGAATTTTATTGGATGGAAGTTATATCTCAATATAGCTGATTTTAAAAACAGACAAACCGAACCAAAATCCTAAATGATGCACAGAAGGTAAAGATAAAAGGATGGGCAAAGGTATAATAGAACATGAACAAATATATTTGGGGATACTTCAAAATTCACTCATAATCTAATCCATAAAATAAACTATATATTTTTATGGTAGTACAACAAAACTAGCAATTTGTAACAAGTTTAAAATTTATAAACTACTTGGAAATTTTTTAACTATCCCATTAAACTGTTAGCAAGAAAAAAAATCAAAACTACAAAAAAAAGTCTTTTACAAAGCAGTGAAAATAGCAGTACAGTGCTACAGAACATGTGGGACGCTACCAAAGTTACTTTGGGAATTACATTTATTGCAGTGGTTTTAAAAAGTTAATTGAATAAAGCAAAAGTAGATGAATAACAAATATAAAGTCATTATAAAATTGAAATGTTATTAAAAGGTTGACAGATTAGTGGAAGAGAATACGTAAACTGAGCCTCATCTGATTAGCTTTCCAAGTGTTTCATTTTTTTTAATCTTTTCTTCTAGAACATAACTTATTTTTCTGTTTCTAATTTTTGTTTATATTTTTCCAATTATTTCCTTTAGGAGTTTCCTCACAATTTATATAATACTGCCAGTACATTTCTGGTACTCACTGAGAAAGTAGAGAGAAAAGTTTACATATGCCTCTTTTTAATATAATAGAAATTCAAGGTTATTAGGTATGACTTTATTCATAGAAAGAAGACAAAAATAAGTTTTTGAAAAAATTAGCAATGATTTTCCTCAAGCGAGGCAACTAGGGTTGAGCTTTGGGCCTTCTTTTTCTCTGTATATTCTGTTTTTTGTATTTTAAATTTTTTATTTTGTTATTGTTTTAAATGAAGCATACATTGCTTCTGCAAACAGAACGTGTGAAAATAAAGTTATTTTTTTAAAGGGAGAGTATTCGATTTGATTAAGGAAGATTTTTTTGGAGGATGGAGCTTTATACAGTAAGTTCCCAACTTACGAACATTTGAGTTGCGAACTTTCACGGATATGAACGGACATCGCATTACAAACATTTGTAGATGTGAACAAATCGCAGAAGTAGCTCACATGTCTGCCGGACATTGTCCCAGTTGTGCTGCTGTGTGCATACTGTACAGTGCGATAGTGTAGAGTAGTACAGTGTTCAATCAGAGCCCAGGATGTCTGGAAGCAAGAGGAAAAGCAGTGGTGATGTGGACTGCTAGGAAGTGTCAAAGGTGTATAAGACTCACTTGGTTGGACTTACAAACGAATCCGACTTACAAACGTTCTCCTGGAATGAAACTCGTTCTTAAGTCGAGGACTTACTGTAATTTATCCTTGAAGAATAGATCAAGTTTGGAAATATATTTTAGGTAAGCAAGAGAGTCTTGGAGATGGTAAAATATTAGATACATATTGGGATACAAGTTCTTTTAGCATTTTCTTTTCACATACATTAGATATTTTCTAACTACAATACTTTTAAACATGGGGATTTTTCAAAAATTGAACTTCAATTTTTATTGGTAAACTTACCAATTTCTGGGCGAATTCTTCATTTTGATATTGGCTTCCATCTTGTAGCACTTTGGTTTTGTCCATTCTGTTTTTCCACACATATCTGAAACTTTTGTCACTCAAAATTTTAATTCTAACATATGCAGTTATCTTTTTCTTTTTCTTCCATCCAATATGCTTTGGAATTTATTAATGTGAATTACACATATTAAATTCTTAATTTTGTTTATGCTATTTCCCTTCATAGTTAATATTTCTGTTTTATTGGATTTGGTGGCTTTAACTTCATTGTGCTACTTTCCTTCAGTATTTGTTAGTTTTCAGTTGTCTAGTCATCTTTCTGTTTGAGAATCCCTCTCTCCTACCTATCGGCTGTGTTCCACATAGTCTGCTTCTGCTGTTGGTGAGGATTGTACCTACCTGAAGCATGGTGTTGTATCTGTCTATACTCAGCTGTTTTGTGCTCTGAGTGAAAGTCACCATCTAACACAGATGGAGGTGGTGGACAGAGCTGTCCCTACCAGCTCATCAATTGGTCATCCTCAGGCTTATCCCCTCCTTCTCTTTGTATTTCTTAACCCTGAGCTTACGGCTTCTCCAGGAGCACACTTCTCTCTGGAGAAGTCTTTTCCTATGGGCTATGGTTTTCTCTGGTAGTTTTTGGGTTTTTTAAAAAATTTTTTTATTGTTAGTTTCAGGTGTACAGAACAATGCAATAGTTACCCTTTTCACCCTCACAAAGTAACAACCCCCCTCTCCCCATCTGTTGCCCTCCCCACCCCGATATCATGCTTATCTATTACAATTTCATTGACTCCATTCCCACTCTCTACTCCATGTCCTGTGACTATATGTACATATAATTATAGTTGACATGCAATATTATTCAACATCAGCTTCAGAAATACAGTGCGGTGGTCAGTTCTGGTAGTTTCTTAATGGATCTAATCCTGTTTACTTTTTATCATTGTGGAATTTCTCAAAATATTTTATTGCTAGTAACATTCCTTTTTAAGTTCTAGCCTTTTTTTCTATTAAAATATCTCATTTTAAATTTTAATTGGTGAAAGAGGTACAGGCGTATGCTTAGTCTATCATTTGATTTAACTTGATAATATTTAATACTTAGCAGTATTTTCAGAGATACATTTGGAATAATTGCAGGGTGATCCTAGAGCTATAGACGGTTGGTTTTAGAATGTAATTATGAAGCAGAATAAATGACCTTGTGTGTTTTCTATTGGGGAACCTGAAGTGCTTTAGCTCAGTGACTCTTTTACCATTTCTCAAATGTCTCTTAATTAGAGTATAGATCATTCTGCCAAAGAGGAAAATAGCATTAGAGATTTGAGCAATTAATTAACTTATTATAAGTCATTAAGTACTTTTTCACATGTAACTTAACTCATTTTATCTGAAGTTACTCTCAGAGATTACTAATCTAATGCTGGGAGATAAACTAGGAGAGTGTTTATCAGATGCTCTAGAATGTCAACTGTGTTCAAGTAAAAAATGAAGTCATCTTTCCAGCATTACACATTGTTGAACACTAATCATTGTGCTTTGATTTTACATAACCAAACTGTGCTTAGCTGAAACTTTGTTATTGTCTTCTTTCCCTAGCGTGACCCTGTTAAAAGCAATCTTCAGAAAATAGAGGAAATTAAAAGTGAAGTAATTGCTGCTAACACTAATAACCCAGAGAAGAGCATGCCACTCGCTAAAAACAAACCAAGCAATCCACAGTCAACAGCTGAAAATCAAGATGGTGATACTAGTGTAGAGGAAGACAACCAAGAAAAAGAAAATAGGAAGGTTAAAAAAGCAGTGTGCCAAGAAATGGAACTGGAAATACCTGAGAAGAAGGTGGAGAAGTCACAGCCAGGTGTTACTCATCAGAAAAATGAGAAGGTAAATGAAGAAAAAGAAAATAATAATTTAGATGAGGAAGAAGTATTGAAGCAAGTATACCACTCCCAGGTAGCTGAAGAAATGGCAAAGGAGATTAAGAAGAAAATACGAAAGAAACTCAAAGAGCAGCTGTCTTACCTTCCCTCAGATACTTCTTTGCATGATGACAAATTGAACATTGAAAAAAGAAAAAAGGAAAAAAAGAAAGTTCCAATCCTGTCTAACATTGAAACAAGGTACTTTACATTGATAAATATAAGATGTTCTCTTAGAAAATATTCTGTTGTTTTCACCTTTTGAGTGATATCTGTAGCTTCACAAAGAAAATTCTTAAGACTTTCATTTAGACACGTTGCCAGTACAACAATAACAGCTGACCTTTGCGGAGCACCTTAGTATGTGCTAAATGCTTTACAAAAATAAACTTTTTATTCTTTATAACAACCCTGTGACGAATGGTAATGTTATTTTTTGTAGATGAAGAAACGAAAGGGTTTATATCCGAACCAGTAAGAAACTGAGTCAAAGCCTTGGCTGTCTTTCTCCAGTCTGCCCTTAACTATTCGCTTAACATCGGCTTTTTAAATAATAGAAGCCTAATTACTCCCCTCCTTTTTGAGTTATAAATGCCTGTTTGGATATGTGAATATAGCATTTTTCCCTTATTATACCAATAACGTTTGCTTATTGTAGAACATATAAACACAAAGATAAAAGCAATCTAATCATCCAAAGATAATCACTTAGCAATTTGGTATTCTAGTGTTTTCTGTTTATGAGATACACATATATCATACCTCATATTAGTATATTTATTAATCTGTTGCTGCATAAAAAATATTACTCCAGAATTTAGCAGCTTAAAAGAACAAACCTTTATTGTCTCATCATTGTTGTGGATCAGGAATCTGGGTGTGGCTTAGCCAGGTGCCTCTGACTCAGGGTCTCTCACAGGCCACAGTTAGGGTGTCAGATGTGGCTGCAGTCATCTCAAGACTTAGCTGGGAGAGGACCTGCCAAGTGACATTGCTGTTGGAAGGCTTGGGAGGTCCACTCTAAGCTTGCTTAATGTGGTTCTTAGCAGGCCTCAGGTCTTGACTGGCTTCTGGCCAGGGACATCGGTTCCTAACCATATGGACCTCTGCATGTGGGCCATTCACAACAGTGGCTAGTTGCTTCCCCAGAGTGAGGACTGTGGGGGGGAGATGTCATAGTCTTTTTGGAACCTAATCTTATTAGTGGCATCCATTACTTTTGTCACAGTCTGTCTATAAGAAGTGGGTTACTAGATCCAGCCCTCAATCCAGGGAAGGGGATTACATAAAGCTATGAATATTAGGAAGCAGGGATTATTGGGGGCCATCTTAGGGGCTGTTTGCCACGGTATATTATAAATTCTCTGCTCATAGCTATCATATCTGATATGAACTGGTAAGCTCATTAATTTCAAATAAAACCATGGCTTATATGACAGTGACATGCACATCTCTTTAAATAATGATATTTGCTGATGTGGTAGAATAGCACGGCTTCAAGAATGACTAATTTGAAATATTTCTCTGATCTTTTTATTTCTCAACCTTTTTTTGAAATATAACTATATATTGGAGGTCAATTTTTGATTATTTAGATGCAGATTTTTTACTTGATAAATTAAAAAAAAAGTAAACAAGCATTAATAGATTGGTTTCTCATTACAACTCATTATGCTCCTGGGATGCTACCCCTTACCATTTATTAATTCATGTGACACAGATTTTAATTTTAAAAATAGCCTTCTGAAAATGTCACTATGTTTCTAGTGGCACAGCAGACACTGGAAAACACAATTTTTACCTAATAATCAAACGTTGAATTTCTGAAGTTTCTTTGAAAACAGAACTTAGAAAACAATTTTTGCTTTTAAATAAAGTAATTTAGAAATTTGTTCATTAATCATTTACGTAGCAGCAAGGTGAGGATGTTTTGATCAATCCCATGTAAAAACAGATCCATTGCACAAATACAGTTTAATTTTTACTTGGAGTTTAGAGCTCAGTTTAATTGGGCTCATGTGCTATACGAGTATAACCCATCACCAACTATGAAGTAATATCCACAATACCTAGTTTGACAGCTAACCATTTTAGTGCAAAAGAAAGCATGTATCGCCGAGCTGGAAATAATATCGATTGTAGGATTATCCTTGCCTCTATTCACTGTTCATTTTGCTGCACCATAAATAATAGTAGTAATAATAATAATAATAATATAATAATAATATAATATATTTATAATGACATTCACTTGGATTATATTTACAGTACATTGCCCATCTCTGATGTCACAATTGAAGGTAAACAAAAGGAGGAAAGTACAGTTGGAACAGTTACTTCAGATTCTCATCAAAATGATGAAATAACCTCAGTGAAACAAAACATAGAAGACAGCATGCAAGATGACACAAAATCCAAACCAAAAGAAAAGAAGAAGAAGCCTAAAGCAGGTTTGTTATCCATATTAAATGAAAAAATGTGTTCCTTGATAAATATAACTTGATTCTAGGACTTGGAGTCCTTAAAACTGAAGGAAAAGAAATCCAGTCCCAAAGGATATAATTGAAAGAAAATCCAGTATAGAACATTTGTTACTTGTTTTTGGACTCATCTAGATTAAAACATTCATTTATTTGTGGCTGAGTTTCTTGATAAATTAGTATTACTTTGAGTCATATCTAATTCCTGACTTAATGTAATTTAGCTCTGGAATAACATTAACTTTGTAGTTGTTATTGTAGTATAGAAGATTTCTTTTTTATACCATTGAGTTTAGAGCCCCTAAAGAATTTAGACTCCTAGTTATTGAAAGCCATAAATGGTCAACAGCCAGGAAACATTTCAGATGTTTGGGTTGCATGCCTCTGTCAAACATGGCGTCTCCCCAGTTTCTCGGCCTAATTCAGCTTATGTCTTCCTTCCCACTTTTCCTTTTCCCCTCTTGCTTTCAGTCCTCCTCTTTACTCATGTCTTTTCTCTTATTTTTCTTATTATTATTGTCATTTTCATGCTGCTTACATCCTTTCTTTTTCCTTTTCAATTTCCAGTTAATTGGCCAAAAATGGGACTAATATAGGGAATTTTAGAATTTTGATTACTTATTCATTTTATTATAAAATTAATGTTTTGTGGTTGCTGTAATTAAACTTTAAAAAAACTTTTTTTGAAGTATAATATACACATAGAAAAACGTACATATTATATTACATAGTGAATTTTCACAGACTGAACATGCTCATAAAATCATCATCCAAATCAAGAAGCAGAATGTCCTTAGCACCCAGAAGCCCCCTCAAGTCCCCTTCCATTTCATTGCCTTTCAGGAGTAAACACTGTCTTGACATCTAACACAGTTTATTTTTGCCTGCTTTTCTACTTTAATATAAGTAGAATCATAAATATTATGCTCTTTTGTTTCTGACTTTTTTCACTCAAAATTATTTTTGTGCGATTTATACTCTTGTTGCATGCAGTTGAGCATATTCATTATCAGTTCTGTTTTTGTACTGTGTAGACGTCCACTATATAAATATATCACAGTTAATTTACCTATTGTATTAATGGACATTTGAGTTATTTTTGGTTTTAGGTGATTACAAATAAAGCTGTAATGAATAGTGTAGCCACGTCTTTTACCAAGCATATGTATACATTTTTGTTGGGCATATTCTTAGGAGTAAAGTTACTATGTCATAGATTATGTGTATTCTTCACTTCTGGTTTTCCAGAATTGGTTGACCAATTGATACTAGCAGTATTTGAGACTTTTCGTTGCTCTACATCTTCTGTAACATTTGTATTGTCAGTATTTTTTAGTCCTTCTTAGGCATGTATATTTTATTTTGACTTTAATTTGATTTCCATGATAGCTAGTGAAGTGAGCATCTTTTTCATGTTTATTAACTACTTGAATATCTTCATTTGTAAATTTGTTCATATGTATTTTTTTAAGAAATGGAGTTGTTTCTCTTTTTCTGATTAATTTTTGAGGCTATTTGATATATCTAGATATCAGTCTTTTCTCAGGTATAAATACATATACACACATATATTGGGTTGTTGGAAAAGTCATGACGCATTTTTGCAACGAAAAACAAAAAATACGTCATGACTTTTCTGACAACCCAATATATTGCAAATATCCTTCCACTCTGAGTTTTATGATTTTACTTTTACTAGTGTCATTTGAAAAATAGAATTTTTAAATTTTATATAGCTCAATTTATCCTTTTTTTCCCTCTTTAATGGTAAGTGCTTTCTGTGACTTAAGCAACCTCCCAAGTCCTGAAGATGTTTTGTATATATTGTTTTCTAAAAGTTTTTTTTTTACTTTTTCACAGTTAGCTCTGCAGTTCATCTGGAACTGATTTTTGTCTGTAGTGATAGGTAGTAGTCAAGACCCATTTTTTTCCCATGTGAATTTGTAATTGACCTAGTACCATTTACTACAGAGAGCATCCTTTTCCCTCTATTGCAGTGCCACTTTTATCATAACATGAGAATGTAATTGGATCAGTTTCTGTGGTCTGTTCTGTTACATTAAACTGTTTACACCAACACCACCATGTCTCAATTACTATAGGTTTATAATAGATCTTGCTATTTAGTTGTGTAAGTACTCCAACTTTTTATTCTTCAGCAGTGCCTGGGCTATTCTTTACCCTTTGCTTTTCCATATGAATTTGAGAAGCAGCTTCTAAATTCTCTCTTCTCCTTCCCTCCCCCCACGCATCCATGATTTTGATCCAGATTGAGTGAACCTAAAGAGAATCCTAATTTAACTCTCTAAATAGACTTGATATCTTTGCAGGGTATTGATGCTTGCCATCCATGAATTTGGTGTGCACCTCCACTTATTTACATCTTCATTTTATCTTGGTAATATTGTTAATTTCAGCAGCCTCTCTTTAGATTTATTTCTAGATGTTTGATGTCTCTCAATGTTATTGTAAATGGCATTTAAAAAAATGTTTTCTATTTATGTGTTGCTGGTATATGTGTGTAGAAGTAATTGATTTAAAAATTGTTGACAGTTTCTTCTAAATTCATTTATTATACTAAGAATTTATCTGTAGATTGTTTAGAATTTTCTACATAACAAAATCCTATCATCTGTTAATGGTAGTTTTTTTATCATGAATAAATATTGAATTTTATCAGGTATTTTTTCTGCATCTATGAATATGCTTATATAAATTTTTACCCTTTTTTCTGTTAATGTGTTTCATTTTTATTTGAAAATTAAGCCATCTTTGTGTTCTTGGCAAGGTGGGAGACCCACTTTATTGTGATATATTATCTGTCTCTTTGCTTAACCTGGTATTGGATTGGATTTGCTGATACTTTGTGTAGGATTTTTATCTCTGTGGTCATGTGAGAGTTGGTTTATACTTGAGCTTTCTTGAAATACCCAGAGTTTTTTTTTATTTTTAATTTTTTTTTAGCTGAGCCATCTTGTCACCTGTTGGCAGCTCAGTGGCAGCTCAGCTCGGGCCGTGAATCAAACCGGTGACCCTTTTTTTCAGAGCTCACACTCTTGAGTGAGCTCTTAACCAACTGAGCCACTCAGCAGGCCCCAGAGTTTTTGTTTTGTTTTGTTTTGTTTTGTTTTAAGATTTTTATTGGGGAATTGGGGGGATGGGAAAACAGTGCTGGGGAATTGGGGGGAGGGGAACAGACAAGTTGCTGTCCTTTTTGTTCTTCAGTCTAGTTGTGGAGGACGTTGCTTCACTGGCCCAAGTTGGCACCATCATTGTGCTCTTCCCGGGTGAGGCAGATCAGTCGCCGGCTTCTGGACGGCCGCTCACTGCGGCTGCTGGTCGCTCACGCTGGCTGCTGGCTACACACGGTAGTCCATGGCAACCCACTGCCACAGGGGCTGCAGCCTATGCCGGCGCTGGTGACACACGGCAGCCCAGCTCCTGGTTGAGCTGTTGTTCAGCATCTTAGCTGTAGAGGGCAGTGTCACTGGCCCTCATATGTGGGATCCGAACCGGGGCCCTCTGGCATCCCAATCCAGTTCTTAACCATCGCACCACTCGGCTGGCCCGGCCCCAGACTTTTTGATATCAAGGTTTTGGTGTTCTCAAAAATAGGTCAGAAATGTTGCACCTCTTCATTTTCCTGGAAGTATTGTATAAATTGCTGTTATTTCTTCCTTAAATGTTTGGAAGAACTTATAAATGAAGCCTTTGAGGCTGAGATTTTATTTGCAGGAAGAATTTTAAATCAGATTTAGGTTTTTAGTAAATATTAGACTCTTCTTATTTTGTTTGTTTTGTCATCTTTGATAGACTATTTTTTGAGGAATTTGTCCATGTAATCCAAATTTTCAAATTTTATATGTCTATACATCTGAAAGGGTGCCCCTTGATATTGGTACATTGTTTTTTTTCAGTTCTTGATCATTGTAGGGGTTTCAATTTATGAATCTTTTCAAAGGACTAAACTTTTTTTAGCTTTAATCTTATGTATTGTGTATTATTTTAGTTATTTATTCTATCGATATTATTTCCTTCTTTCTACTTTCTTTGGGTTTGATCTGTTTATTTTTAGTTCTATAGATGGTTTTATAAGATTTTAGTCTTTAAATGCATTAAAGACTTTAAATTTCCGTCTAAGTACTACTTTAGGTGCATCCCACAAATTTTGAATGCCATATCTTCATTATCATTCAATAAAAATATGTTCTGAATTACATTTTAATTTCTTCTTTGATCATGCCTTATTTAGAAGTATATTAGTCTCAGGCAGGAGTTGATTTTTTAGTTAGCTTTTTATTTTGGTTTCTATCTGCCGTCGTTGTCAGAGAACATACTGTGAATTTCAATGTTTTGAATATTGAGGCTTTTTTTATGACCAGCTTATGGTCAATTTGGTAAATATTCCATGTGCACTTGAAAAGATGTGAATTCTGATGTCATTGTGTGCAGTGTCCTATGTATGGAAGTTAGATTACATTTATTGTGTTTAGCTCATCTTACTGAATTTTTTTGGCTTGCTTACTCTGTCAGCTACTGAGACAGACAGCTATTAAAATCCTCACTATGATACTGGGTTTCCTTGTTTTCTTTTATTTCTGTTAGTTTTATTTCTTTTTTGAAGCTATGTTATTGAATATTATGTATGTTTGGGATTGTTATATCTTCCTGTCAAATTGACACTTTTGTCATTGGTCTCAGTCTGTTCAGGCGGTTGTAACAAAATACCAGAAGCTGGATGGCTTACAATAAATATTTATTTCTCACAGTTCTGGAGGCGGGAAGTCCAAGATCAGGCACCCACAGATTTGGTATCTGGTGAGGGCCCGCTTCCTGTTTCAGACGGGTGTCTTCTCGCTGTCACCTCACATGGTGGAAGGGGCAGCGGAGCTCTGTGGGGTCTCTTTTATAAGGGGCACTAATCCCACTCATGAGGCTCCACTCTCATGGCCTAATCACCTCCCAAAAGCCCCACCTCTTAATACTATCACATTGAAGGTTAGGATTTCAACATATGGATTTTGCAGGGACACAGCATTCAGTCTATAGTAGTCATACAATACTCTTTATCTCCAATAATTCATTTTCCCTTGAAGTCCATATGTGGTTTGAATTTGCATAGGTAGAATAAGCACACCCAAAAAATCAGTATGATGAGCTGAACACAGTGAAGTTGATCTAACTGACATACATACATACATACATACATACATACATACATACATACATTTTCCCCATCCTTGTTTCTCTGTCAGTACCCACAGTACACCCCCAGTTGCTGCCAATCTAGTGGGGGAGGGGTAGCCTTCAAACCTGTACTTGGTTCATGCACCCCAGGTCTAGGCAGGGCTTGCCAGTACTCCATTCCTCCCCCTCTCCACCCCCCTCGGCTCCCCACCTGTGCCTTCTTTGCACCCTCTTTGCTTGGGCCACAGTGTCTTTGCATTGCTTTCCTTTTTGCCTTCACCTGTTTTCTTCACAACTTAACACATGTGGGTCTCAGCTCCCAGGCAGGCCCTCAATAAATGGGAAGTACTGTTGCCGCCCCCCATGCAAAGAAACAAAAACACCCATTGTTTGTAATTTTTCTGTGTCCGTGTATTTATCATCTCACTGTTTTCTATATGATCCACCTGTTTTGTGTTCTTTTTTCTCCTTGTCGTCTTTTGAATTATCAGTTATTTTCTCCCTTAGTTACTTATTAATTATACATTCTTTTAAAATTTTTTAGTCATTACCCTGGAGGACATAAAGTTTATTCTTGACTTATTGTAGTCTAATACGAATTAATTCCCTAACAAAAGACACTTTCCAGCCCTGGTAGAACATTAGAATAATTTAACTCCATTTTAATTTTGTCAGGTGTTTTTCTGCATGAATCCCTCTCCTGACTTATCATGTGTTTTAGTTGTATACATATTTTAAACTTCACAGATGTTACAGTTATTATTTTGTACAGTTGCCATTCATATTTATTCACCCCCAAAATTAATTTTTTTCTTAATGAATTTCCATTTTTCATCTGCTTGAAAACTGTTTAGTTTTCTCTTTGTATAGGTGTGCTAATCCCCTTAGATTTTGTTCCGTTAAAATGCATTTACTTTACCTTCATTTTTAAAGCTTATTTTCTGGTATGGAATTTTAATTTGCAGGTTTGTTTTAGTACTTTAAGGAAATCATACAATTGCCTTCTGCCTTCCATCATCTCTGTTCTCAGCAGCAGTCCTATTTCTGTCTCTTTGAAGGGATTACATCTTTTTTTTTTTTTTTTTTTTGCCTGGGGCTGCTCTTTATATTGTCTTTTTGTCTTTGATTTCAGTGTTTCATCATGGTATGCCTGAATGTGGTTTTGTTAAAATCTATCTTGCTTAGAGCTTACTGGTTAGTATTTTATATCAGTTATTACAAATTCTTGGCCATTTCTTTTAATATGGCTTCTTCACCATTCTGTGCTCTTTTTCTAGCTTATAATTTTACATATATTATTTCTTTTGAGTGTGTCCACAGTTTCTTACATTTTTTTCCACCACGTTTTAGATTGTATTTTCATTGTGCTTCAGTTTGAATATTTATTTTGCTCTTTCTTCTGGCTCAATAAACATGGCTTTCTCTGTGTCCAGTATGTTGTTAGATACTCTTGAGTTTTTAATTTCAGACATTGTATTTTACAGTCCCAGGATGCCTTTTTTTTTTTTTTCATGGATTTCAAATCTCTGTAGACAAAGTCTTTGGTTGTCAAAATTATTTTGTTCATCTTTCCCTTTATTTACTTGAGCATATTAATCAGTTATTAAAAGTCCTTGTGTGCTAATCCAGTCTAGATTAACTATGGGTCTGCTTCTGTTTTCTGTTTTTCCTCTTGGTTATGGCCATAAAGTCTAGCTTCTTTTATGTCTAGTAAATTTTTATTGTATGTTGAACATTGTGTCTAGAATCCTAGAGTCTCCAGATGATTTTATCTTCAACTAGAGAGTGTTTCCTCTCTTTTCTCTTAGGCAGATACAATAGATTAGGCAACTGATTCAATCAGTGAGCTAGGTTAAGGCTGGGTTTTAGTTTTGGTAAAATTCTATCTCTGATTTGTCCTGTTCCTAGGATGTGGCCTTCCAGGTGTTTGAAATCGAGAGCCTGGCAGATATTTGCCTCCTCAGCCCTAAAAGACTGTGGGAGATTCAGTTTTGCTTTTCAGAGGTTTTCATTAGTCCTTTAGCCTTCTGCCCCATGCAGCTTCAAAATTTGGCAAATGTTTCGAGGGTGACACTAGCCGTGTGTTTGAGGCCCCTCAAGTCTCGAATTTTGTCACTCCAGCCCCGCGTGAATGCCAAAGTCTCTGCTGGCTTCTCTGTCCCCCAGTAGGGACCTTCTGCCAGGGGCCATGCCAGGATTCTCAACCTCTAGCTGCGCCCAGAATTGGTAAGTGACCCCAGGTGAAAAGTGGCTGTAGATATAAATTAACCATGCCCTCTCTCTAGGGCTTTATCTTTGCCTGTTTTGTTTCAGGCCCCTCCCCCTGACAGGTTATTGTTTCCAAGTACCAAAAGACTGGAAGATTTCACTCCCGCTTTAGGCTCAGAATTCAGTTTTGTGAGAAAAATTGGCCATGTGTTTGAGGTCCCTCAGATTTCCAATTTTATCACAGTAGCCCCATGCAACCGCTAAAAGTTTTGTTGGTTACACTTTCTTCCAATAGTGACCTTTTGCCTAGGCCAAATCTTGATCCTCAGCCTACACTGTGAATCAGCAAATGTCCCCAGAGACTTACCTCTGAATGGTTCTCCCTCTTTGTAATGTTAGTCTATCTGTTATACATTGTTTCAGTACTTTCTCTAATGCCTTTAAAAGTAAGTTTTTTATAATTCACTTGGCTTTTCAAGTTGTTACCAGAAGCATTGACTTTTTACATTCTACTACATCTTACCCAGAAGCAGAAATTACAGTTATAAATGAATTGAGTAATAATATATTCCACTTAGAAAATAACTAGATAAAATTACTTTTTATCTCTTCGACTTAGAAAATAACTAAATAAAATTACTTTTTATCTCTGCTCTCTTTTTCTTTTTTGTTGTTGGTCCTTGTCAGGGAAAATAAGAAAGATTCCTCACACTAGTTATTTAGTAAATTAGTAAATGCAGTGTTTTACTCTCACAGTGTAGTCTGCTATTGTCTGTTTTTTTCCTTTATTTTTCCTTGAAGTTTCTTTGTTAACAAAGATAAATAATCATGAATCATAAAGACTAGGCTATATGAAAATTCAACATATATTGAATATATTGTTATGAAAACAATTATAATTTTGATTTTCTTTCATGCTTGTACTTTCAGATGATAATGAAGACACTGATGCTAATGATGGCGTTCATGAAATAACAAGTAGAGATAGTCCAGTTTATTCCAAATGTTTGCTTGATGATGACCTTGTCCTGGGAGTTTACATTCACCGAACTGATCGACTAAAGTCAGATTTTATGATTTCTCACCCGATGGTAAAAATTCATGTGGTTGATCAGAATACTGGTCAATATGTCAAGAAAGATAATAGGTAATTTTTTTTTAAATTGTCCTACCAATCCTTGAAATTGAAACTGTCTATAGTAGAAGTTCCTCTTTTCTGACATTGAAAATCAATGGGACTAGGGCTATGGATTTGTATTGGAGAACAGGATACTAACTCTAGGTGCTTATCAACCATTCATATTGATCATTATATTTTATAGAAGAAATGAAGAGTATCTGTTAATTCAGTAATTCATTTTAAGTGGAGCGGACTTGAGAGAGTTTCTACCAAGCTTAATGACTAATTTATGGCATTTAACTTGCATTGTAAATCATCTTATGATACACTGTAAATTCATTAGTTGTCTAATGTGGTTTTTTTTTGTTTTTTGTTTTTTTTACTTTTTCTGGGGAATTGGGAAAGGGGAACAGTGTTGGGGAATTGGGGAAGGGGAACAGCCAAGTTGTTGTCCTTCAATCTTAGTTGTGGAGGGTGCAGCTAGCTCAGCTCCAAGTCTAGCCGCCACCCGGCTGCCCGTTGGCAACTCACGGCTGCTCAGCTCAAGGTGCTGTGTTCAATCTTAGTTGCGGATGGGCGTAGCCCACCATCCCATGCTGGAGTCGAACCGGAAACGTTGTTAGGAGCTCTTGCTCTCACCACCTGAGCCATCCTGCCACCTGTTGGCAACTCAGTGGCATCTCAGCTCAGGTGCAGCTCACTGGCCCTTGTGGGAATCGAACCCTGTTGCTCAGAGCTCGTGCTCTTAACCGTCTGAGTCACCCGGCCAGCCCTATATTTTTGTTTTGAAGTTAATATTACCTGGGCCTCAGGAGAGGTAAACAAATCTTGAATTTAATTTCTTTCCTAATAGTACTCCTATAGCTAATGCATGCTTGAAGTCCCAAGTAAAAAGTACAATAAAATTGATGACTGTACTAGAATTCCAAAAAATTATTTTTTGGAAAGGTGGCAGGGATGGGAAACCTGAAAAGATTATCAAAAAGGTGATTCACTCATTCAGTTGTCTTAGGGCATACAAAAGAGATATGATACACCTTGAAGGTTTTACAATCCTGATGTGCTCATTTTCTTACTTAAATGCACTGTACTATTCTATGACAAGCTCATTGAAAATTCTGAAGGTGTTACTTTATTCCAGCTCTGAATGCTGAAGGTATAATCATATCTCACTTTATATTTCTATAATAAAATAATTTTGTGAAACCAACTGATGGAATGTAAATACAAAATGATAGTAAGGAACTACCACTTTTAAGTCTCATAAAATTAAATAATTTTCCTTATATATCATGGCTATTCATGACTTTTGATTGTCTCACCTTGAATACCATAAATTAAATTTTTTTCACATTCTCAAATTTATAAAGGATTGTATTAATAGAAATATCTTTTTTTGAATAGTGAACGGCCTGTTTCATCCTACTTTGAAAAAGACAACGTGGGTTATGTTCTTCCTATTATGACTCAGCCATATGATTTTAAACAGTTAAAATCAAGGCTTCCAGAGTGGGAAGAACAAATTATATTTAATGAAAACTTTTCCTATTTGCTTCGAGAATTTGAGGAGAGCCCTAAAGTCATCCTGTTCTTCGAGGTATGAATTGAATAGAGCAATTTAAACTAAATTTTAGTTAATACAGTCATCCCTCAATATCAAAGAGGATTGGTTCCAGCACCCTCTGCAGATACCAAAATCTGGTATCTCAAGTCCCTTACATAAAATGACAGTATTTGCATATAACCTATGTTCGCATATAAGCTACAGCAGGGTTTGCCTACACATCACTTCATTCATGTTGATTCAGCATAGGATAGTGCTCAGTGCATGGCATATTCAAGTTTTGCTTTTTGGAACTTTCTGGGATATATTTTTGTAATATTTGTGATCTGTGGTTAGTTGGATCTGTGGATGTGGAACCACAGATACAGAGGGCCAACTACATAGCACAAATGTAAGCTATTATTTTTAGTACTTCAATATACAACAAAGTAGTGTGAGAATTTAATCTCTAGGATTTAGTGTGTGTAATATGCAATGGAGATACGAGAGAGATACAAGTAATAGCATATTTATTTATTTGTTGAGCATTTACTAGTGCAAGAAGTTAGCCATTTGATTTACTCTGTACTATTTAATCTTTAAAACAATACTATGACTATTAACTGAAGTGTCCAATCTAATCTGTTTCTCTGTGATCCTCCATTCTTAACCCATTTCTCAAAGTGTAAACTCACTTATCTATATCAGATTCCCTAAGAGTTTATATACTTAGGGAAGCAAAGGTGAACATACACAGATTATTTGACTAAACAATGTAGTGTATAATCAAATGAAGTAGAACTTCTTAGATGTGAAGGGTTAGTGGAGGGTCAGAGCAGGCAGGCAACGCTTTATGGAATAGATGGCCTTTGAGCTGACATGTTATTCTAACTTTTTACTGCAAAGGAAATCAAGGTTCAGAGTGTAAAGTGATTTTCCTAGTCACTCCAATTTTAAGCGCAGGTAATTTGTATTGGAAACCTAAAATACCACTTGTTTTTTTCCACTACTTTGTATTATATGAGCTCCATAAACAAAGAGAAGTAGAGAACGTGTCTAGCTTAAGCAAGGTGGCAAATTTTAGCATGGTAACAGCAAGGCATGACCAGAACCAATGATTGATTTTGTAGTTACTTGTTTTTATGATCCTTAACTTTCAGGTAATCTATGTGTCTTTGTGAAATGAATATTCTACCATTCACATCTAATTATGTTGTATGATTTATACAAAGCTGTCATTTTTTTTAAAGTGATATAATTTATGTGTCAAGGGACTTTTTCTGTCATAGAAATTTGTCATTCGTTAACTATATAACCTTGTATATTCATTTTAGTGATATTATGAGATTTAAGAAAGACAGATCGTTGGATTATAAACACTTCGGGTTGCTTCTTAAGTTTTAACATAATGTGTTATTGACTTTCTGATTGCAACTTTTTAAGGGTTTATTGAGGTCAACTTGATAATACGAGAAGTCTTCAAAACTATTACTGTGCTTTTAGGTATTTCTCCTAAGGGAAAATGACAAATACACAAAGATGTATGTGCAAGGATATTTGTTTAAGCCCTGTTTATAATAGCAAAAAATTTAGGGATCGTTCTCTTTAATCAATAAAAGTTTTGGTTAAACAAATTATGTTTTTTTATTAAATTTATGTTATTTATAACACAGAAGAATACTAGGCAGCCATTACCATGATTATATATATATATATATATATATATATATATATATATATTATTGACTCGAAGAAATATCCACTGCATAGTATATGAAAATAATTTCATATTGGATTTGTAGTAATATAGATATATGTAGGCATGCACAGAAAACGGTTTCGATACATGTAAACCAGATGTTAATGTTAATCTGTGGGGTCTGGACTACAAGTTGTTTGTACTTTGTTATAGGTATTTCTTATATTGTTTTTTTCACTGAGCACGTATTAATCTGAAGGCAGATTTAAGTAAATAAAGAAGAGGGGTAAATGGAGTCCATATTTTTTAAACGTTCTTCTGTAAAGATTTGTTGTCTCAGCTGAGCTTTTGATAATCACCAGTAAGTTCAAAGTGGTAATCTCTGCCAAGCGCCTAGAATACAGATGGTCTCTGTGTCAAGTTGGTTGCAAATCCACAAGCTGTGACACCCAGACAGGATGGAGATGTGAAAGAAAACCTCTTGAGAAGCCTAATGAAAACACGTATCTAAAGAGAAAATCCCCACAGGAAGGTGATCCAAGGAAAGACCCAGAGATAAGGCCCTGAGTTTTTTAAACAAACATTCCTTCAAAGTCTGCTCTCATACATTAAAACATGATCAAACTTTAAGAATTCTATGACTGGTGTATTGATGCCTAGACTATATTTGAGGTAATTAATATTTTGTCTTGGATTTGAAATTAATCTTAGTAGATCTATTAATAAAAGATAAAGTGATCAAAAAATAGATCCTCACTAACAGGATGTTAACTTAAAGATGAGTGAAATGAGGTAAAAATGTTTTTCCTCCTATAAGGAAAACTTTTTAAGTAAATAAATACTTTTTTAAATTTTCATAATATATGGAAAATAATAGATTTTAAGTAGCCTAGTCTTCTGTGAAGTAATTTTTTCTATTTATTTACAGATTCTTGATTTCTTAAGTATGGATGAAATTAGGAATAACTCGGAAATTCAAAACCAAAAATGTGGCTTTCGGAAAATTGCCTGGGCATTTCTCAGGGTATGGTTTTTATCCATTTTAAATACTTTTAAAATAATCTTCAAATCTTATTGGTTGCTTTTTCCCAAGTCAGTTTGGTTTCATAGAAGGAGTTACGACCTAAGGTAGATTGCAGTGGTAGAGAGTTATTAATGCAAGCTCAGGCAGTGCTTATTTAGATTCTTAAACATTTATTGAGTGCCTAGTTTGTGCCAGGTACACTATTTGGCTCTAAGGATACAGCATTGAAAAAGGCACAGACAGCCCTGCTGTCATTTATTCAACATAACAAATATTTATGAAACCCTTTGTATGTACCAGCCACTATTCCAGTCAGTGAACAAAGAAGACAAACTCCTTGACTTCATGGACTTCATCTTCTAGCAAGAAAAACAAACGTAAAACAATTGATTATACAAGTTTTCATTTGTTGCAATTTCTATAGATACTATGAAACGGTATGCGGTGGATGATAAAAACATCCTGTGGGGTCAGAGAAATTTCAGGAAGAGACATTGAACCTGAATGTTAGCTAAATACTAGCAGTGGGGAAAAGAGAGTTTAGGTAGAGGGCAGAGTATGTGCAAAGTCCCTGATGTTGTAAGGAGCAAGGTATATAGAACCTTGGAGTAAGTCCTCACTTAATGTCTATAGGTTCTGCAACTTGAAGCGAAATGACATATAGCAAAACCCATTTTTTCATAGGCTAATTGATATAAACAAGAGTCGGGTTCCTATGGCATCTCTTCAGTGTTATATATAATGAAACGATGTTTAACAAAACATTAGTTGAGGACCTACCATCCATAGATAACCAAAAGAAGGCCACTGAGATGGGAGGACAGAGACTGAAGGGGAAAATGGTGCCTGAAGAGATTGGTGAGGGTAGACAGGGTCTTAATTATACAAGGTCTTCTAAGCCATTAGAGCAACAGAAAGCCATTATAGAATTTGAAAGAGCAATGGGAAGCCATTATAAAATTTTAAGCAAAAGGATAAAGTAAACTGGTTTATAGTTTAGAAAGATTACTTTTCTGGGTGGAGAATGGATTAAAGAGGGCACAAATATATATACTGGAAGATCAAGGTAGAAGATTCTTGCAGTGGTCTGTGTAGAAAGTGATGGTGTCTTTAGGATGTTTCAGCAGAGATAAAAGGAGTAGATAGATTGATGTTTTTAAAAAGAAATTTTAATTTTATTATTTCATTTCTGGTATTTTTTATTTTTGACTTCACACAAATTTGAGTTATAGAAAGTCTTGAGTTAATCTATTTTATACTATCTTGTAAAACTTCCTTTTGTACATCCATCCATTCAACAAATATTTAAGTGTCTATGAAATGCTAGGCACTACTAAATACAGGGCTTTCATAGATAAATTAGATGTTCTTGCCTTTCAGTTCAGTTTCTATATAAGCATACTATTTACATGACTGTGCTATAGAGTAGATGCTGTGAAAACCCAGGCGAGGGGGTTTTCCATGCTGGGGGCTAGAGAGAGGCTTCCGTAGAGGTGCAGTCTGACTGCTGATTGGCAGCCAGATCGGCTGTGGTGACAAAGTAAGTAATTCTACTTAAGAATCACCTGGTCCAGTGTACCTTCTAAAATCACTCTTGTATAACCCGTTATACCTTTTTCTGTACCCCTCTATGCTGATTTAGAGCAAAAAAAAGAAAAACCAAAAAACCTGAAAAGGTCACTTTCCATAATAAACATTGCTTCTTGTGGTCTTATTAGGAACTTCTTTTTTTGGTAAGGTTTGTGCAGAACTGCAGGATTTGCTGCAACCTACACTTGGGAAACAGTAATGTATTTCATAACATTTTTACCTTTAAATGTCATACAGATTTGACATTTATTTATCCATTTTATGCTATTGGCAGAAATTGCAACAGGAATTCTCCCACCTCCACCTCCAACAAAGAGTAAGGCATTCTATGTGCTTCTCTGTTATAACACTTATATATCTTCTTCATTACACTGTAAGCTTTTCAAAGTCAGCATTGACTCCTTTTTGGCAATTTTTTTTTTTTTTTTTTTTTTTAGCTGAGCCATCCTGCCACCTGTTGGCAGCTCAGCT